AAGAAAAAGGGGGGGGGGGGGGCAATTCCTAAAACCTGGAGCAGACAGAATCTGGAGCAGTTGTCCAGGGCAACCAATTAACATCTCTCTTCAGTTTGTACGGTTAGCCTATTAAAAAATGAAACGGAGAAGCTGATTGGTCGCCATGGAAGAGCTCCATATTCTGTCTGCTCCAGTTTTTATGAATTCCCCCAATGTGTCCAGGAATAAACTTCTGGCTCTCTATGAGATACTTAAAGTGGACCTGTCCTGCCACTAACCCAGAACATTCCATTGTCAACAGAGGTTTATGTTACTGTATATCAAGGGTAGCCAACTCCCCCCAGCTGTTGTGGAACTACAAGTCCCATAAGGCACTGCAAGACTATGACAGCCACAGGCATGACACATAGAGGGGCGAATCTCTCTAAGGGGGTGCGGCGGACACTGCAACAACAAACAAATAGATAGAGCTTCTAAACCTTCCCACTCTGTCCAAGATATGTTTTGACTACAGATACAGTTTAATGCTGCACTCCAGACAGCTATAAATATGCCCAAATATGCAGTTCTATCGTTATTAATACATTTTTATATGTGAGCAGTGTAAGTACCTGAATTTGGCTTAGTATCAGCTTCTTGCAGTCGCTGTACAGCAGGGCTCAGACTGGGAGAGCAATGGGTAGCACAAGGAGTCATTTGTGCTGCAGTTTGCTGATAGGAGGAGAAAGCAGAGTGACAGAGAAATGAGCTCATCACTCTGCTGCTTCTCCTTTCACTGTCCAGTCATGGGCTGGGGAAGGGACAAGACCTGCCGGTGTTCCTTTACTGCAGCAAAGAAAACTCCGGTCCTCTGCCCCGCCAAACAGGGCTATGCTGTGTGGCAGAGATTTGCAAATCTTAGGACTGGATGGACAGGAATACAAATCCTTTGGCAGGTAAAGCAGCTCTCGTATATGTATTCAGCGGTTTGCTCGGAGCTTTAACCGTATGCAAGCGGCTGGAGGCAGCAGTTATGAATCAGCTCTGTTAGGCCGGTCCGCTGGCCCGGTTCGATGACATCACCTGCCCCTTCTAGGTACAGTTAGGAACATGGGCCGATCTTTGGCGGTTTGTGTAGGTCAGAGGAAGAAAGCTTTTATAAATGTATTGTAGATCTCCTGAAATCTTCTCGTATATCTTGTTTCAGTTCTGGCCAAGAATAAATCAGGAGCTCTCCGAACTGCGGGAATTTTATGATCCCGACACTGTGCAGTTAATGAGCTGGATCAAGTAAGTAGCCGTCTCCTCTCTCTTATATTACCCGAAGTGTTACGACTTCCTTCCTCCGCTATCGTATCTCCACATTCCAAAGCCACATCTCCGTTGTAGGTGTTAGAGAGTGAAATCACCGGACTTGTCTATCAGAGATTCCAGATTTGTGTTTGGAATTGGTGAGACCGCACCAGGCGGGCATTTGGAAACCATGACGAGTACCCGATTCTGGCCCCCATAGGTGTCCTAGTGACACTAAACTCCTTCAGAATGAGGGCTGTGGAAATGAAAGATTCATTTCTCGATTAATCGTTAAAATTCTTTTGATCGCTAATGAAAACACTCACCTCTCCGCCGGCTTCCGGGAGTCCTGTCAGCGTCCTTCCCTTCGTTAGCTGTCACGGACATCGACGTCACCGGACTCCTCCCCCCTTCCCCAAGTGGCTCCGTCGGCTAACGAAGGGAAGGGGGGAGGAAAAATTCGATTAATCGAACACTAAAATTTTAATCAGTACCAGCCCTGTTAAAAATGCATTCAAGTACCCTAACTATTACCAACAATGTATCTTATTTGTGTATCACTCGGCTGTAGATCCTCCAATCATCTCTGAATTGGTGCTGACACTGTCCTTCCCTCTGGAGGGAGGCTACTTTTGTTCCCCATGGTCCCTGTGTGTGTTGTAAAGTAGTCACCGGTCCAACCTCCCTCCCGGGATGGACTACAATCTCATGTTTAGTTGACTAATCTGTATTGAGATTGTAGTCCATCGCAGGAGTGAGCTTAGCGGTGGCTACTTTACAACAAGGTCACATGCTCCTTCTTACCCAGAAGGACCAGGTATTTACCAAGGGCTCCAATGGAACAGCAGGGCTTGGCAAAGATGGGTATTGGCCGGGGGGGGCTCTTCTTCTTACAAGAAGGGACAGCACTGTCTCCCAGCTCCTGAGTGTGCATAGCTGTGTCAGATAGCAGCTCTGTATTTGTTTGCATTGCTCCAAATCATGTGGCTTTCTCATATGACACTGTTTTGCACTCTTGGGGGGTCAATTAAGATCAGGCAGATGATAGTGGACTTCAGGTGACCCCCCCCAACTTTCAGACTTGGACAAAGTAGAAGTAAATAAGGTAGACCTATATATTTCTTGCATAAGCCTGTGGCTCTCTCTCTCTCTCTGAGAACAGCGCCCCACAGCCACAAGTTTCGAGCTTTCGTTCCCCAGCTGTCGCTTTCCCACACGAGCGTTGTGAATTTTATTGGCGGCTACAGGGCTACGCAGACAAATGCTAATGGAGGCGCACCGTGTCTCCAAAAACCATATTTTGCCTGAGACGAGGGGGGGTGGGGGGGGGTTTGCGACGCTGTTGGCGTACTTCCCTCGGCCCGCGAGCTTTTTACGAAGTTGAAGAATGGCACCACATCTGCTTAATGCTAATCCACAGGCCGCTCGCCAGAGGATGGAGCGTCCTTGAGAACGGGAAAAAAGCCGCTGTCGGCGATTTTCTGAAATAACTATTGATGTTTTTTTTATGATAAACTGCTCCGGTGACAAGATGTTTAAGACCATCATCATATTTAAAGCTGGCTAATACCTCACGCGTTTTGTCCTCTGGAGAGCAGTTTATGTTGGAGTGGATGTAACCGGTATAAAACTGTAATATGTATTCTATATCATCGACGTCCGGGGGAGAGAAGTGCTGAGGTGGCAGAACACGGGCGCTGCGCTTTTCCCGATGTAAATCTGCACAGGAAACCTACAGATATTTGTCTTTCAAACGATCGGAGTCTGGCACGCCGTGGCAGATGTCTGGACGGGCGCCAGGCGTGTTTATAATACCCCTAAGAGATTTACGACCTAACCATTCATATTGTGCGGCTTAGCGCTCAGCGTGTGACACTGACAAAGACAAATGGGTTGTTTAAAAGGCATCTATAGTCTGTATAAAGATTCATTTTTTTTAGGTGTACGGTTTTTGGAACCTGGCAATAAAAAAAAAACAAAATCAAAGTCATAAAGAAAACTTAAAGGTTATGTCCAGGCGTTGCGCAAATTCACTTTCTAACTCCCCTCTTCATCGTGCCCCAGTGTAATGTTTATTATTATTATACGGGATTTATATAGCGCCAACAGTTTGCGCTGCGCTTTACAATATAAGGAAGTCATCCCTTGTAGATTGTTAGCTCTCAGGGGCAGGGCCCTCCTTACCATCTTGTCTTGAATTGTATTGTGATTGTAAAGAGGGGTGGAGAATGGAAGCCAGTGTACGGATTGGCAGAGGGGGGTGGAGGATGGAAGCCAGTGCAGGGATTGGCAGAGAGAGGTGGAGGATGGAAGCCAGTGCAGAGATTGGCAGAGGGGGGTGGAGGATGGATGCCAGTGCAGGGATTGGCAGAGGGGGGGGAAGTACGGAAGCCAGTGCAGGGAGTGGCAGAGGGGGGTGGAAGCCGGTGCAGGGATTGGCAGAGGGGGGGGAAGTACGGAAGCCAGTGCAGGGAGTGGCAGAGGGGGGTGGAAGCCGGTGCAGGGATTGGCAGAGGGGGGGGAAGTACGGAAGCCAGTGCAGGGAGTGGCAGAGGGGGGTGGAAGCCGGTGCAGGGATTGGCAGAGGGGGGGGAAGTACGGAAGCCAGTGCAGGGAGTGGCAGAGGGGGGTGGAAGCCGGTGCAGGGATTGGCAGAGGGGGGGGAAGTACGGAAGCCAGTGCAGGGAGTGGCAGAGGGGGGTGGAAGCCGGTGCAGGGATTGGCAGAGGGGGGGGAAGTACGGAAGCCAGTGCAGGGAGTGGCAGAGGGGGGTGGAAGCCGGTGCAGGGATTGGCAGAGGGGGGGGAAGTACGGAAGCCAGTGCAGGGAGTGGCAGAGGGGGGTGGAAGCCGGTGCAGGGATTGGCAGAGGGGGGGGAAGTACGGAAGCCAGTGCAGGGAGTGGCAGAGGGGGGTGGAAGCCGGTGCAGGGATTGGCAGAGGGGGGGGAAGTACGGAAGCCAGTGCAGGGAGTGGCAGAGGGGGGTGGAAGCCGGTGCAGGGATTGGCAGAGGGGGGGGAAGTACGGAAGCCAGTGCAGGGAGTGGCAGAGGGGGGTGGAAGCCGGTGCAGGGATTGGCAGAGGGGGGGGAAGTACGGAAGCCAGTGCAGGGAGTGGCAGAGGGGGGTGGAAGCCGGTGCAGGGATTGGCAGAGGGGGGGGAAGTACGGAAGCCAGTGCAGGGAGTGGCAGAGGGGGGTGGAAGCCGGTGCAGGGATTGGCAGAGGGGGGGGAAGTACGGAAGCCAGTGCAGGGAGTGGCAGAGGGGGGTGGAAGCCGGTGCAGGGATTGGCAGAGGGGGGGGAAGTACGGAAGCCAGTGCAGGGAGTGGCAGAGGGGGGTGGAAGCCGGTGCAGGGATTGGCAGAGGGGGGGGGAGGATGGAAGCCAGTGCAGGGATTGGCAGAGAGGGGTGGAGAATGGAAGCCAGTGTAGGGATTGGCAGAGAGGGGTGGAGGATGGATGCCAGTGCAGGGATTGGCAGAGGGGGGTGGAGAATGATAGCCAGTGTAGGTAGGGATTGGCAGAGGCGGGTTGCAGACACTGAGCGGTTGGTCAGGTGAATGAGTCTAGCAGCTGCATTCATGATAGACTGAAGGGGGATTGAAAGGTTGAGTTTGAAGAAGTGTTGCGACATCCAGGCTGATATGTCTATTCTCTTATACCTTGTTTCTTGTGCTGTCATCACCTGGATTGCAAACTTCCTACAGGGGCAGCTGCTGGGAGATCAATTCCTATTGACATAGGCACACACCCAGAACTTCATCTCCCAAGAGCCCTTTCCCTGTGTAGGCAACATTGTATTGCTGGGACAGAGCAATGCATGCCTATGTTGTGGGACAGAAAGGGGCAAAGATAGGCAGACTTGTATACCTTATCTTATCATCACTGGGTCATTGAGCTTCTTTATGCAATGAAGGCAGACCATGTCTGGTGGTTGGGTTGGCAGCAGTGGCATCAGAAGGAGGGAACGGCCCGCACCGGGTGATGCCAGTCGTTTTGGTGTCGCCCCCTCTGAAAATTCGGCGTTTGGTCATGGACTGACAGCTGCCCAAAAGTAGCGGGGACCCAGCAGCATACCTTATCCCTCTGGATAAGCGTCCCGTCCTTTCTTTGCCGGTGCCCATCGGTGAAGTGCATGTGATGTCACTACACGTGTCCGTAATGATGTGATGCTCCTGTGTAATGATGTACACGCCGGGTGACACCCAGCGGCCACATCAGGGTGACACGGGGACTTCCCCATTTTAGAGCCTCCAGCAAGGAGAGGTAATGATGAAGAAGCAGCAGGGAAGGTGGAGAAAGCACAGATCCACAGAATGGCAGACGCAGGGAGATCCTTGCACTGCAGCTCCACAAGTGCAGCTTCCTCTCCAGCAAGGAGAACAGTGAGCGACACAGTACTAGCCAACCTCGCTGCAAATCTTGTGGGACCAGCAGACCGAGGGAGCAGCTTCTTAGATGATCACACGCTGCAGATATACAGCTACGACACAGTAATACCCAACCTCACTCCAAATCTTGTGGGACCGGCAGACTGAGGGAGCAGCTTCTTAGATGATCACACGCTGCAGATATACCGCTACGAGGTTGTAGGTAAATGAGTGCCTAGGCACATTCACAAAACTAGAAAAGCACTTTCTTTTTGTGTTGAATTCCTCATAAAAACTAGAACACTTTTCAGTGTAGAGCTTAGGCCTAATTAACATTTCCAGATGACCCTACACCATAGCAAATCTTCTCTTTTGATGTTTCAGTCCACTTTCACCATCGGGCCTACCCCTGTACACATCCTCCAGTGTGTCACATAAGTTGGTAGCAGTGGCATTAGTTTCATCCATCCATTCCATCGTTAGCTGATTCCACTATGGTGTGTGATTCTTCACATTGATATATTTATAATATTGATCCTTTGTTTCCTTTTGTAGGTCAAACACCCCCAAAAATGCTGTATTTGCGGGCAGTATGCAGCTTCTGGCTGGGGTGAAACTTTGCACTGGGAGGGTGCTGACCAATCACCCTCATTATGAGGACAAGACCCTCCGGGACAGGACCAAAGAGGTAGGCTCACCAATGAGGGGTCAGTGGATCATTGAGCTGTGGTTGCATGCTTGCTTTTCCATATGTTTGTTAATGAATAAAATATAGAGATATTTGGATTAGCCACTAGAGGGAGCTCTGTACTTTTCCTGCGCTCTGTACTTTCCTGAGGTTAGGTTGAAGGTAAAGGTTAAAGCTGAACTCCAGCTTATCCAGCATTGGTCTTGCACAGTTGTAGTGGCTCCTCTCCTCCTGGACTGAAATGGCTTCCTCCGATGTCACTGCACACTGCGAGCTTCTCACCATGTACATTAGAAGCTGCAGCAAGTCAGACAGAGCCCGCCTCATTTCCTGGCTGGAAGATGTACAGCATCATCTAGCTCCTTCTGGCCCTGCCCCTTTCATTCACTGGATTTTAGTTCTTTCAGTCATGGAGACTCAGTATTACACGTGGACGTCACCTAGGGTGCTCTGCATGCAAATGCAGCCTGCCTCGGAACTATTCGGATTATTGGAAAGCTGCACTGGTCAGTCCTCGGTGTTTAGTTACTATGCTGTACACAAGTTCTCTTTGGCAATGACGGTCTTTCTTTTATTTTTTTTAAGGTGTATCAGGTGTATGCGAAGAGATCCCCGGAAGATGTACACGGCATACTGAGGTCGTTCGGCACAGACTACGCCATATTAGAGGACAGTATATGTTATGAGAGGAGACACGGGAGAGGATGTCGTCTACGAGATCTGCTGGATGTCAACAATGGCCATGTGAGAATTCAGTATTGTTTTCGGGTGGGCATTTGTATTGGAGACCTGTGGGCCCCTTTTGCCTTATTTACTTTTATACATCATTTGTAGTAACATATAACCCAAATATGGCAAAAAATCCCCCCAGCCTACCCTGCATTTGCATGATTGGAGCTAGCGGGTGTTATTAAGCCACCCAGAGAGAGTTGTTAAAGCAGCATTGTATGTTTCAGAAAAGAGAGACCGGGAGGAGGACTGGTTTAAAAGAGGTGTAAAAGAGGCCATTTATGTAGAAATGGAGAAGCCAGTAGAGGTGGGGGGTGAGACCTCTATTGTCTGCCATATACAATGCTGTTTTAACACCTCTCTCTGGGCGGGTTAATAACACCTGCTAGCTCCAATTATGCAAATGTAGTCAACACCTTACCACCATGAGGTCTCTGACCCCATGCTTGTTATGATTAACAGATTATGTTGATTGGAGGAACAAGTGATGAACAAGATTCTGCCTGATGAAGGGGATCCTGTGAGACCCTGAAACGTTGCACTGAGTGTATCATGCTATGTTGCTCATGGGTCAATAAATAGACGCATTCGATTTGCTATTTGGAGTCTATATTTCTACTTGTGATTGTGACAGTCCATCCGTCGACAGCCGCAGCACCCACTTTAATACTTTGGAACAGCGGTTCCGAGTGCGCTGGTTTATGGGCGTTACAGCATCATTCACATGTCCACCTTAAATGACGCAAGCCATTCGTTCAACGTTTATCTGGACACTTGTCTCGTAGGTACTAGTAAGAAAATACCGCATTGTCCATCACCAAATCCTTTTTTTTCTTTATGTACCCAGACGATGGACGGTCCCGGGGAAGACGACCCTGATTTGAGGCCTTCTCCTTTCCCCCGCTTCTGTGAAGAAATAAAGAACGATTCCCCGGCCTACACAAAGTACTTCACCAGGGTCTTCAAGAACAGAACTTTTCATGTTTACAGATTGTCACGCAAAGCTTCGGGAAAGTAAGCGGGATGTGGCAGACCGGACAGTATTTCGTTGTTCTAGTGCATCTTCTTATTGGTCAGCGCCGACTCCCCCCTCGCCGTAGAGGCGGGGCTCTCCTTGCCTCCAGACGTGTCCATTTCAACTTGGCCACAGCAGTTGTCTTTCAGTTGTGACTTTCTAGTAGTGTTTGACTTGACGGTGAGGTGAATTTTACATGGCAGTGGTTGTGTCGGAGGACCGGGTGTGACAAGTGAACCGTCCAGCCATTTCAATCCTTGTTTCACAAAGACTTAGGTCAAGTGGCAGCTAAATAACATTTCCCATAATGCTTTAGTAGCTTTGGAGATCGGATCATTCAGTAGTATCAGAGGCAAGGTGCGGTAGCCCTGGTCCGTTCCTGTTCAGCTTCTCAAAATTGGCTTGCCTGATTTTGGGGTGGAAGTTACTGTATGTGCGTTATATCCTTATCACATTTTTGTAGGCAATGAGTTTATCACTCCCCAAAACTGACTCCTAACCTTAATATAACCTAAGAAACCCAACCTTGAACATACCCCCATAACCCTTAAAAAGGAACCTGTACTGTGGAAGCTGTTACCAAAAGAGGCCAATGGACTAGTCACTGGTATTGCCTGTGGTCTCCCTGCAGCTGATGTTTTCCCCATTACTGTCTCGCAAAGCACTGTCTCTGACGGAGGTGGCCATCTCAGTACAGAGACAGTGACTTTGCTTTCCTATGTCAAAGCTGCTCCCTTGATGACTGGTGGGGTAATGAAGTAGCAGGGAAGGTGGAGAAAGTACAGATCCACAGAATGACTGAAGCAGAAACAGGGAGATCCTTGCTCTGGAGGTCCTCAGGTGCTTTTTCTCCGGTAAGGAGAACAGAGAGCAGCACAGTAGTTGAGAAACTGGAGAATGAAAAAAAACAGAAGCAGGGAGGTCCCAGTACTGCAGGTCCTCAGGTGCAGCTTTCCCTCCAGCAAGGAGAACAATGAGCAGCACAGTAGTTGAGAAACAGCAGAATGAAAGAAACAGAAGCAAAGGAGATGCTTGCATTGTAGGTCCTCAGGCACAGCTTCCTCTCCAGCGAGGAGAACAGTGAGCAGCACAGTAGCGGAGGAACCACAGAATGGATGAAGCAGGGAGATCCTTGCCCTGCAGGTCCTTAGGTGCAGCTTCCCCTCCGGCAAGGACAACAGTGAGCAGCACAGTAGTGGAGAAAGCACAGATCCACAGAATGGCAGAAGCAGGGAGATCCTTGCCCTGCAGGTCCTCAGGTACAGCTTCCTCTCCAGCAAGGAGAACAATGAGCAGCACAGTACCGACATTACCCAATCTCATTCCAAATCAGGTGAGACTAACCGTCAGAGGCAGCAGTGCATTAGATGATCCTATACTGCTGATATAAAGCTTTGATGTGCAAGGCACAGGATGTACACTGCTATTTTTAAGGTGAATTTAAGACAAATGGAAAATCTTTCAGGGTTTCTGCTTAAGCACAATTAACATTTCTATATGTTCTCTAAAAGATAGAAAATCTTCACTTTTTGGGTTTAAGTCCACTTTAACCCCAAAATGTTATCCCGTCACATTGATCCATTCATGCTGCAAATGTCATGCAATGAAAACTGCTCCAAAATCGGGTAACGTGCGGTAACTCATAGCAACTAGAACTGATCTCTCTGTCCCGCCTCCAGACTAAGGTCATGAAGTTGTTCCGGCCGCTATGGGTTTCTGCACTTTGACGCTCTGGGCGTTGCCTTTTTTGAGTATCCCAGATGGTATTTACGCACTAGGAGTTTGGAAGGTTACGATACTGAAGCCATTTATGACAATATGTGCCAAATATTTTTGGATTCCGTGTCACTGTGCGCCATAATGATGAGGTATTATGATAAATTCTCAGACTGGTCTGTTGTCATTCAGATGAAGATTTGTTTATTGTAGAACCGGAAATATCTGCAGCTTCCTCACTGGAGAGGGCGGGTTGTGTGTAGGAGGAGGCATACATGGGCTTCGAGAGGGGGCGTCTGGAAGCGCTACGTAGGTTCCCCGACCGCCACCGAAACAGCTCACTGAAAAATACACCTTATTGTGCCATACTAAGACAAACTGGTCTGCGGCATTAGGCCCATACTAGACTTGGTTGTCGGGATGCCCACTTACCTGTCACAGCAAAGCTGCTATCTGCCATGGCTGACTCCTGGGAGGGGCTGCTATCTGCCATGGCTGACTCCTGGGTGGGGTGCCAGTTGCAGGGCAGAACACATCTCTGCAGTATTGTCACATACTGTGACACCATGGCCTCGGAACTGGCACTGCTCCTGAGTTGGGCAGCCTCCACGTTGGATGGGAGCCTCGGCTGTGTAAGGTAAGAGCGATCCAGACAAGATTCTCCATGCAGAGTTTAGAAATGTATCTCAGCGGGTCATTAACAACAACTGTCTACAGGGGAAAAAGAAAAACGGCATGCAGACTGATGCCATGGTTTCTAGCTCGGCAAGGGTCGCCAGTACTGTAATTTTGTATTAAATGCCCTTAAAGGAAATCTGTATTTTGCTCATGCAGGACAAAGCAACAGGAATCTAAACCAGATGTACATACTCGCCATTAGGGACGCACCGGTTTTTCGGTATTGAGTCCCGATATATATATTTTTTTTTACGGTACTCTCTGATTCTGATACCGGAAGTCCCATTAAGGAAGCTGGGTGGCGTGTAATGACTCCCCTCCGGCTTCCTGATTGGCCGAGAAGCCGGCTCCATGCTCCCTCGGCACCAGGTGACAAGGGAGCATGAAGTCGGCTTTTTGGCCAATCAGAAAGCCAGGCTGCAAGTCATTACACGGCGCCCGGCCAAGTGACGAGGGAGCATGGAGCCAGCTTCTTGGCCAATCGGGAAGCTGGGCAGTGAGTCATTACTTGCCCCCCGGCTTCCTGATTGGCCGGGAAGCCGGCTCCATGCTCCCCTGGTGACAAGGGAGCCTTGAGCCGGCTTCCCGGGCAATCAGGAAGCTGGGCAGCTTGTAAGCACTCGCCGCGTGGCTTCCAGACACCGGAAGTTCTGGTATCGGGATAGGCATCGGGAACCTGAGTAAGAGTACTCGCCCAAATACTCGGTATCGGCACCGATACTAGTATCGGTATCTGTGCATCCCAACTCACCATAATCTCAATTCTGTAATGCTCTGTTCAGCTGCTGGATGCAAAAGAGCCAGTGCTTTAGGTATAGAGGAACACGCGACTCACTTCTCTTCCTCCCACATGACATCACCGGTGCTTGGTGATTGGCCGTTCAGGCACCCAGCACTGTCACATGGGAGTAGGAAGAGAGTCCTCATCACTGTGTAAGCTGCAGGTCACGAGTAGGAGTTTCCTCGGCTCTTTTTGCTCCCGCTGGCTGAACACAGTGGAGGGAAGGTGAGTATATACAGCAGGTTGGGCCGCCTGGGCTCACCTGTGATATTACCCTGCATTGGCCAAGCACAGGCCCCCCATCATTTATGAATTCAGTGTTACTTACCCCATAACAGAAAAGTCTAATTCATCACTCTACTGTACATTTCAGATCTGCTAAAATCTTAGTTTCTAATGATTTTTACATATTCCATTTTTGTATTTGATGTACATCGGTGTTGCTGCATTTATAATGTGTCTTCAGTTGTATACACATTTGGTTTGTTGTTATAATCTTACACTTATTTGCACACATTTCTAGGGGGGATATTTATCAATGTTTTCACCCAAAATGGACCCATTTTTTTTACCTAAGAGTCAATTAGAAAGATTTGTGACTTTAGGGTGAAAGTTGTGAATCTTGGGTGAAAACATTGGTCATTAGACCTCCATGTTTTATAGAAAGCCATACACCAGGGCAACTCGGGCTCTTCAACTACAAGTCCCATCGTGCTTCTGCCTCTGGGAGTCGTGCCTGTCACTGGGAGTCTTGCAAAGCCTCATGGGACTTGAAGTTCCACAACAGTTGGAGGGCCGGAGTTGGACACCCCTGCCATACACCATTGTGTACTGACATCTACATCACTGCGGTGGAGGCTTTCTGAACGATTATACTTTACATTCTCCAGGTACTTGTCGCATTGATTGCACTTTGCCTCATGGGTTGATGATGTCACTGGTTCATGGTGACAGGATAGGCTACATTCCACTGTATATGGTTTCTGTTCATATAAAGGCCAACTGTACAATGTAGAGACTTGCACAGCTTCCTGCGAGCAGCATTGCACTACAATACTAACAAGCAGACTTTTTCATTGCTTTGAGGGGGGACTGTATCAAGATGCTGAATACCTGTGTTATTAGGCTCTGGTGAAAGCTGACAGTCCTGTGCAGTATGCCAGTTCTGAGACCATAAACCGAACCACCGAATAGGGTCTTAAATGCAGTACAAGCTGGGGTATGGCTGCTTCTTTTAACGCCTGATTACACAATTTTATTTTGCTCTGAGACCCCTTTAAAGTGAACCTGAGAGGGGGTCAAACCAAAAACAGTATCAAAAAGCAGTGCTTGTGTAACCAGGGAGCCTCTGTATCGCTGGCCTGCACTATACATAGCCCCCCAGCTTATGGCAGACCTTGGTGATAAGCTCCACCTACCAAGTTCCTCCCTCCTATTTAGGGTTACTGAACTCTGGAAGTGTTCAATAATTGTCAGGCAGAGGACTCATCTCCACCCACTTAAACCAAGTCCCGCCCTCACAAATTAAGGGGAACCGAGCTTCAGGACGTTGTATCCAATAAACGTCAGGCAGAGGGCTTATCTCTACCCACGTAAACAAAGTCCCGCCCTCACAATTTAAGGGGACCCGAGCTTCGGAAGTTGTATCCAATAAATGTCAGGCAGAGGACTAATCTCCACCCACTTAAACCAAGTCCCGCCCTCACAAATTAAGGGGACCCGAGCTTCGGAAGTTGTATCCAATAAATGTCAGGGAGACGGCTTATCTCCACCCACATAAACCAAGTCCCGCCCTCACAATTTAAGGGGACCCGAGCTTCGGAAGTTGTATCCAATAAATATCAGGCAGAGGGATTATCTCCACCCACTTAAACCAAGTCCCGCCCTCCCAATTTAAGGGGAACTGAGCTTGGGAAGTTGTGTCCAGTAGGAAAGAAGGGGACGCCGTATTAATCCCCATAGTTTTGGAATCGGATGATCAACAAGGTGTGAGCTTTGGGCTCTCCACAAACGTTTGGCCAAATGAGAGACCGCTTGATTTGCAGTAGACGATTGTCTCATTTTGTG